TTTATTTCATTTAAATGATATATAAATTTTTTATATTATTAATTGTAGATGTTTATACTTTTTTTTTAATTTAAATAATATAATTTTTCAGACAGAATAAGAAATATGATTTGAAGGTGATTCATTAACTTTGTAATAAAAATATTATGTAATTTGAATTATATATTTTTTATTAATATTAATTTGTGTAGACTAATTACAGAAGTAAAGAAGAAAAAATATAAAAAAAAAACACAAAGAGACCATATCCAAAGCCTAATCTATCCCTGCATTTCTCTTGAAAGATTATCACTATATATACGAAGGATAATTGAATATCTAAACAGGCTATATATGTATATATATATATATATCTATACAACTGTATATTTATATATATGTATATCCAGTATTTAATGAAAGTAAATATGTGAACACTTTTCAACAGAGAAAAGAAGAGACGATACATGATAAAAATGTAGATGGATAAAAAATAAGTTAGTTGTATGTAGCTTATGACACGAAACTCATATATCATACTTGAAAATGACCCTTGCAGATTTCTCCCTTGAAATACAAGAAAATGGGGCTTTGACCTTTGGTAAGGGACAAATTCATGTCAAACACGTACCCATATACATGTATATATACACACATATATACAATATATCTAATTAAGTGAGCAGCCACAGAGTAAAAGACAAAATGTCCTACAGCTATAACGACGTGTTTGGCCAATATCTCTCTGCAATGAGGGATCTACCCACCTCAAAAATGGATCTGGGAGTATATAATATACTTGTATATACGTATACATGTGTAGAAAAACAAGACTTAAGCAGCTACTTTAAATCTTTTGTAAATTAACTAATGGATGTATAAGGTTAACCATGTAACGATAAAAAAAAAAAAAAAGTCAAGGCTATTTGTTACCCATTAGGTAAGACTATTTCTTCTTTGGTAGAAGCCATTGATAGATAATGAAAAGCTCAAACAAGTAATTTTACATACCTAACACATTACTCTCTCTCTCTCTCTCTCTCTCTCTATATATATATATATATATATATACACACACACACAGACACATATACATATAATATGTAAATGGGGTCTGTGGTTAGCTTCTAGAAAAAGGGTTTTTCTGCATGAAAAGTGTATCATCATCATGTGGGTACGGTGTATTGTGGAAAAACTTGTGACCCCAATGGTGAGAGATTTCTCTTGGTTTTCCTCCTCAGAATGATCATGGAAAAAAGTGAAAACTTAATTATAATCATAAATAATTAAGCCGATGACAAATCCCAGCTTACAAGCTAACCATATCCAAGAAGGGACTACTTCATATGATATTTAGTAGGTAGACTGTTGACCTTTAGAAAAACAACTAATCTACCTACCTTGCCAAATATATATCCATGCTCATCAAATTCTAACCTAAGTTTTCATGTTTTCGTTATGATTATTTTCAATTTAGTTTTTTTTTTTTTTTTTAATTGTTTACTTAAACCACACAAATACAATGTATGAAACTAGCTACTCTTAAAGTTACATGTTTAGTATCAATATGCTACATGAATGTGTATGTATATGTATATTACTTACTATCCCACTTCGTTACATAAGCATATGGAATTGCAAGCCTTTCTTAAAACCTATAGTTATGGTATTTGTGTGTTAGAAAAAAAAATATATTGATATATTTTTATTCATTGTGAATAAATTTGACATGATCTATTTATGCAATTTATTAAACACAAACTTAATTGGTTTTTTATTTAGCCTCTAAATGAAATTTGGATAATTGATTGGTTGTATTAAATCTTCTGTAAACTTGTCGTTAGATCTGAATAATTTGAATATTGCTTAATATATTCGAAGTTATTTTAAAGTAATTGATTGGTCAAATAATTTAAATATATTAATAAAATTGACCTATTTGATACATACACATATAAATATGTATACATAATACACATAATATATGTATATTCACATATTTTTTTAACATTATACAAATTTAGGTTATATTTAAATAAGTTAGTTCATGTTTTTGACTAGTTAATTCATTTAATATTTTATGATAAATATGAGAAATAATCAATCTAAACGTATTGCCTAATTTATAAACTAGTCAAATATGAATTTAGGAAATCAGGACTCATTTACTCAATAGTTACAAAAAAAAATAATAGATAATAATTCATTATACTATATATTAGTTAATCATACAACCCCCATATAATTATACATTTAAGTAGCTAAATCA